CAGTGTATGGCTCACAGGGTGCAGTGTATGGCTCACAGGGCATAGTATATGGCTCACAGGGCGTAGTGCGGCTCACAGGGCGTAGTGCAGCTCACAGGGCGTAGTGCGGCTCACAGGGCGTAGTGCGGCTCACAGGGCGTAGTGCGGCTCACAGGGTGTAGTGCGGCTCACAGGGTGTAGTGCGGCTCACAGGGTGTAGTGTGGCTCACAGGGTGTAGTGCGGCTCACAGGGTGTAGTGCGGCTCACTGGGTGTAGTGTGGCTCACAGGGTGTAGTGTGGCTCACAGGGTGTAGTGTGGCTCACAGGGTGTAGTGTGGCTCACAGGGTGTAGTATGGCTCACACGGTGTAGTATGGAAATGTATTGGATTTATTCAGGTCACTGTTACTGCATGACACATAATCCAAAATTACTAATGCATAGTTCAAAATTACTTGATGGTGAATTCAATCACCATGGATACACAACTTTAGAATTATTAAAAAAAGCAACCTCACAGTTGGAAGAGCTTGGCTGTCTTTGTAGCCTATCAAAACAAAGTTGATTATGTACTATGGAATATTTGGGCAACATTCACCATTCAGATTTTCATAGGCCTGCATAGATAAAATCTAGTTTGTGACTGTCTGGATAATCATGTGCAATCACACACAGTTGCATGAGGTGGTTGCAGTTTATAGTGTTCATTACCTGTAGAGGGCCAGTGACTGTACTTTTATGACTACTTCCAACAGACGCTGAAACAAAAGGGAACAACAAAGAATTAGTACAATGGTATCCACAGTCATAGGCAGTATTATATTGCAACATCTTCAATTTTTTCAAAATGCTATTGTCAGTATCTCGAATACAGCCCAGATTCTTTGATTTAAAGGCAATCATGTGACCTTCATCTGACAATATGAGACTTTCATCCCACAAGCATGCGACTTTCATCCCACAATCATGCGACTTTCATCCAGCAAGCATGTAACTTTCATCCCGCAAGCATGTGAGTTTCATCCCGCAAGTATGAGACTTTCATCCCGCAGGATGCGACTTTCATGCCACAAGCATGAGACTTTCATCCCGCAATCATGCGACTTTCATTCTGAAATAATGAGACTTTCATTCTGCCATCATGCGACTTTCATCCTGCCATCATGAGACTTTCATCCTGCCATCATGAGACTTTCATCCTGCCATCATGAGACTTTCATCCTGCCATCATGTGACTTTCATCCTGCCATCATGTGACTTTCATTCCGCAATCATGTGACTTTCATTCCGCAATCATGTGACTTTCATTCCGCAATCATGTGACTTTCATTTCGCAATCGTGTGACTTTCATGCTGCCATCGTGTGACTTTCATCCGGCAATCATGAGACTTTCCTCCCACAATCATGAGACTTTCATCCTGCCATCATGTGACTTTCATCCCACAATCATGTGACTTTCATCCCACAATCATGTGACTTTCATCCCACAATCATGTGACTTTCATTTCGCAATCATGTGACTTTCAGTCTGCCATCATGTGACTTTCAACCCACAAGCATGCGACTTTCATCCCACAATCATGCGACTTTCATCCCACAATCATGTGACTTTCATCCCACAATCATGTGACTTTCATCCCACAATCATGTGACTTTCATCCCACAATCATGTGACTTTCATCCCACAATCATGCGATTTTTATCCCACAATCATGCGACTTTCATCCCACAATCATGTGACTTTCATTCTGCCATGTGACTTTCATCCTGCCATCATGTGACTTTCATTCTGCCATCATGTGACTTTCATCCCGCAATCATGCGACTTTCATCCCGCAATCATGACTTTCATCCCGCAATCATGTGACTTTCATTCTGCCATCATGTGACTTTCATCCCACAATCATGTGATTTTCATCCCACAATCATGTGACTTTCATTCTGCCATCATGTGACTTTCATCCCGCAATCATGTGACTTTCATTCTGCCATCATGTGACTTTCATCCCACAATCATGCGACTTTCATCCCACAATCATGTGACTTTCATCCCACAATCATGTGACTTTCATTTCGCAATCATGTGACTTTCATCCCACAATCATGCACTTTCATTTCCAATCATGTGACTTTCATTTCACAATCATGTGACTTTCATTCTGCCATGTGACTTTCATCCTGCCATCATGTGACTTTCATTCTGCCATCATGTGACTTTCATCCCGCAATCATGTGACCTTCATCCCGCAATCATGTGACCTTCATCCCGCAATCATGTGACTTTCATTCTGCCATCATGTGACTTTCATTCTGCCATCATGTGATTTTCATCCCACAATCATGTGACTTTCATTCTGCCATCATGTGACTTTCATCCCGCAATCATGCGACTTTCATTCTGCCATCATGCGACTTTCATCCCACAATCATGCGACTTTCATCCCACAATCATGTGACTTTCATCCCACAATCATGTGACTTTCATCCCACAATCATTTGACTTTCATCCCACAATAATGTGACTTTCATTTCGCAATCATGTGACTTTCATCCCACAATCATGCAACTTTCATCCCACAATCATGTGACTTTCATTTCGCAATCATGTGACTTTCATTTCGCAATCATGTGACTTTCATTTCGCAATCATGTGACTTTCATCCCGCAATCATGCGACTTTCATTCTGCCATCATGCGACTTTCATCCCACAATCATGCGACTTTCATCCCACAATCATGCGACTTTCATCCCACAATCATGTGACTTTCATCCCACAATCATGTGACTTTCATCCCACAATAATGTGACTTTCATTTCGCAATCATGTGACTTTCATCCCACAATCATGCGACTTTCATCCCACAATCATGTGACTTTCATTTTGCAATCATGTGACTTTCATTTCGCAATCATGTGACTTTCATTTCGCAATCATGTGACTTTCATTCTGCCATCATGTGACTTTCATTTCGCAATCATGTGACTTTCATTTCGCAATCATGTGACTTTCATTTCGCAATCATGTGACTTTCATTCCGCCATCATGTGACTTTCATTCCGCCATCATGTGACTTTAATCCCGCAATCATGAGACTTTCATCCCGCAATCATGAGACTTTCATCCCGCAATCATGAGACTTTCATCCCGCAATCCTGAGACTTTCATCCCACAATCATGTGACTTTCATCCCACAATCATGTGACTTTCATCCCACAATCATGTGACTTTCATCCCACAATCATGTGACTTTCATTTCGCAATCATGTGACTTTCATTCTGCCATCATGTGACTTTCATCCCACAATCATGCGACTTTCATCCCACAATCATGTGACTTTCATTTCGCAATCATGTGACTTTCATTTCGCAATCATGTGACTTTCATTTTGCCATCATGTGACTTTAATCCCGCAATCATGTGACTTTAATCCCGCAATCATGAGACTTTCATCCCGCAATCATGTGACTTTCATCCCGCAATCATGAGATTTTCATCCCGCAATCATGAGACTTTCATCCCGCAATCATGAGATTTTCATCCCACAATCATGTGACTTTCATCCCACAATCATGTGACTTTCATCCCACAATCATGCGACTTTCATCCCACAATCATGCGACTTTCATCCTGCCATCATGCGACTTTCATCCCACAATCATGCGACTTTCATCCCACAATCATGTGACTTTCATTCTGCAATCATGTGACTTTCATCCCGCAATCATGAGACTTTCATCCCGCAATCATGCGACTTTCATTCTGCCATCATGTGACTTTCATCCCCCAATCATGAGACTTTCATCCCGCAATCATGAGACTTTCATCCCGCAATCATGAGACTTTCATCCTGCAATCATGTGACTTTCATCCCACAATCATGTGACTTTCATCCCACAATCATGTGACTTTCATCCCACAATCATGCGACTTTCATCCCACAATCATGCGACTTTCATCTCACAAGCATGTGACTTATTTTATCCCCACATGGCAGGGATTGAAAGAGAAATTTTTCCAAGCATAATTAGTGTGCATGTTTATTTTAAAAACCAAACTTAGTTTTTGTTAAGGAATTTGTTTAATTGTCATTAGAGCATGCAGAAGTTTTGTTAGCAGGATAAATATTCTAAATTAGGCGTCATTTATCAAACATTTCAATCTTTCCTGGTACCTAAATAAGAGTCTAATTTATGTTTTTCATAGTTACTGACGCCTATGACAATGAGCTGTTATCATTTATCACATCTCACTGTTGTTACACACATTGTGATTGGTTGAGACCAAGTCACATGACATTGAATAAAATGGATATTACATATTTTTTCTTCAGTGAACAATGCATGTACAATTTATGTATGAATGTATGTTATTGAGTGATATGTCACTTGTTATAATACATGAAAAAAAATATTGCATACTTCGAATATAAGTGTTGTTATTTTGTGGGAGAGCAAGTGTGAGAGATGTATGTTAGGTGCAGTTGTGTATGGTGGATGTCTGGTTCAATGTGATAAAATAAATAACACATGGTCATTCTGCTAATATCATGATTTCCGCCTGCCCCCAGACTGTTGGTCATGACCATAATATTGATGATGCGCTCGCCTTCGGCTCTGACATCATCAATAATATGGTCATGACCACCAGCCCTTGGGCAGGCAACAAATCGCGCTATTGCCCTCACAAACGCGTGTTACAGTTTTTTTTGATGCGACAAAGTACTGACACCAAATTCATTCACCTCCTGATGAGTAATGTGCTGGTGACTGATTTTTACTCCAACAACGAAAAGCCTCCAGTTTCAAGATGTTTTATCTATCTACCGACACAATAATCTCAACACAGCTACAGTAATTGATTTACTACGACTTTGGAAATGTAACATCAAGAAATACAACAATAGCAAATGCATGATCTTGTTGCATTGTAATCGCCCACCAATTTACTAATATGGGTATGTAATTCATTATTATTCAAGTTTGTGACCTTTGGTACTCGCATGTCTTGCATGATTGGGTGGTTTTCAAAGGGTAAAGGGTAAAATAGCAATCGTACAGTAAAATAAAAATAATTCACCTCATTTCCTTTGCCTTGATTGGCTCTTTATTGTGTTTGTATGCTTTATAGTGAGGTGTTTTTCTGTCTTGTGTCCACTTGCTGAGGAAGGCTTGAACCCGAAATGTTCTGTTTTATATTCTCCATATTAGTGCTTTTTTTATTCTCCGCTGGTCAGTTTTATCATATAGTAAATGTACTGGAGTATATTTTTGTTAAGTGAGCAGAAAGACAGAAGAAAGAAGCTACTTACAAGATTGTACCTGATTGGCTACCCAACCCTAAGACCTAACAGTTAGACCAATCAGAGATTGGATTATATGTATATATGCTACACCTTAACTGTGTATTTATGCTGTCAAATACATCACATGACAGAGGTAGAAATAAGATCCACCCTTGCCCTGACATATGTAACCATGGCAATTTATTGAAACAGTCAATGGTGGCCATTTGCATCTAAAATATATTGTCATGGAAACAACTTACTTTTCTTTTTCCTCCTTACACAGTTCAGATATGCTTTGATCTCATCCGGAGATTTCTTTTTTACATATTTTGACAGTCCTTCATAGTCTTCATTGTTTTCTATTCTGAAATATAGTAACTAATAAGGTTTATGGATATTCAAAGTAAAGTTAATTAGATGCTGGGTGATTAATAAAGTTCATAGATTCAAAAATAAATTATAACCAGTCATTGTCAACATTAGTGCCACATAATTATTACACTCATCTGAAATATAGTAATTAATAAGGTTTATGGATATTCAAAGTAAAGTTAATTAGATGCTGGGTGATTAATAAAGTTCATAGATTCAAAAATAAATTATAACCAGTCATTGTCAACATTAGTGCCACATAATTATTACACTCATCTGAAATATAGTAATTAATAAGGTTTATGGATATTCAAAGTAAAGTTAATTAGATGCTGGGTGATTAATAAAGTTCATAGATTCAAAAATAAATTATAACAAGTCATTGTCAACATTAGTGCCACATAATTATTACTCTCATGTGACAGACATAATGCTCAGTTGTGCTTTTTTCTTCTCTGAAACCTGCTTGCTCTGGTCTTGGCTTCATATCAATTCCTATTTTGATTCTGTTGATAAGGATTCAGCCTACGATTTTGCTTGCAATTGGTAGTGATGTAATAGCCCTCCAGTTTCCGCAGTCAGCCAGGTCAACTTTCTTAGCTAATTTCACTATTAGGCCTTTCTTCCAATCACTTGGTACTTTTTTTTTATCCCAATTAATCCAAATTTGCCTGTATGCATCTTATAATAGCTTTGACAGGAAGCTAACTTTGTTGAAATTTATTTTTGTTAGCAACAGTCATTGTTTATAGTGGAGTTGTCTTGGTGTATGTTGTTTAAACCAGACCATCCGAGTAAGGTTTATGTACTCTTTGAATAATGACAACAGGAATATTACAGCATACAAACCACCCAAGAACCTTGACTGATTGCTACCATTATTGGTGTGCTCAATAAATACAAAATCAGACATTTTACACCCAAATCCATGACATTGCTTTTTTATTCCAAATATGCTACTGTCATCAATATTCAACTGACAATAATTAGTAATTTATTTATTTATTTATTTATATATTTTAGATAATATTCAGCAAATCTGATGAATAGTAACATTGCCTAACACAAAAAAGTAGGTCAGCTTTTAAGTGAAATTGTGGGAAGGAGTTGTTCGCTTCGCTGTCTGTGGAATGTTTAGCATGAAAATGCGAGAACAAGATTAATGATGTAACTGTCACAATGATCTGAATAAAGTGCAGAAACATTTTCTGGTTCAGTGAGGTCATAGTGATCTTCCCAGTGTTTTTGTTT